GTCTCCTTGTGGCCCCCATGCAGTGGTGTTGCTTCCTGTGGTCCTTAAAGCCACTTCTACCTTTGCTCCCCAAAAACCCACGTGGGCGTGAAGTGGGGCGCCGGGCGAGGAAGCTAAGTGCTTTCGGAGTCCCGCACCAGAGGGAGGGCAATTCCCGAGACGGCAGGCAAGGCCGCGGGCGGGGCGCGCGTGCAAGCCCCCTGGGGCCGGCAGGGCACAGTCTGGGGTGGGGTACAGATCGACACCTCCCTGCCCCCCCGCGAGAAAACCCGCTTCTGTTGTCAGGGCAGAATGTCAGGGCCCCACGTGGGGGAGAGGGCCCCCAAGGAAGGATCCAGGTTGGGGGGTTCCTGCTGGCTGGCGCTGGGGGCGGTGAGAAGGGCGCCTGCAGGCACGGAGGGTACCCCAGTGACTGCTGGCCTGCTGGGCCCAGCTCGGTGTCCCCCAAAAATGACGGCTGAAGTGACCTGAAGACATGCTGGAGGGCGTGCAGGGGCGGGTCCTGTCCATGGGGGGTGAACGCGGGACCCCGCCGCGGGAGGAGGCTCGGGGGACACGGGAGCTGGGCACGGCTCTGGGTGGCGGGCCCTGTGTGCCAAGGGGGACAGGGCGACCGAGGCCCCAGCCCGCACACCAGGGGTGGCCCAGCGACCCCCGAATCTGAAGGCCGCGCGGTGACAGCTGGCAGACGGCCTCGCTGCCCTTCCAGGGAGGCTGGACGGCTGACCCCTAAAGGGGCTTCAGCAGCGGCTCTGGCTTCACGCGGCGCCCCTGTGGCCCCCCAACACTGAGCTTACCACGGGAACCCTCCTTGCACTGGGGCCCCACCCAGCCTGCTTGCGGGGCCCCAGCTGGGCTGTTCTGCTCTCCCGGCCCCTGGGCTGGGCTCGGACCCGGGGCTCAGAGGCCACCTGCATGGACGCCCCACAACGCCCCCCCCACGAAGGGCCTGCGGGCAAGGGGGGCGGCGGAGCACTGAGCAGCCGCGTGGGTCCGCAGGCGGCCCCGCAC